TCAATTCTATACAAAAATGCATAATTTTTAAAAGATATACATATAAGGATATTTATTCTAGCATCACTTGTAATGACACAAAATCTGGAGAAATCTGTATTGTCAATAGAAAAGTTTCAAAAATTACGGTAGAAGAGGCCAAGTGTGTGGCTTACATCTGTAATCCCAGTGCTTTGAGAGGCTGAGGTAGGAGGATCACTTGAGGATCCAGGGGCTGGACACCAGCCTGGGCAACACAGCAAGACCCTGTTTCTATTAAAAATAATAAAAAAAAATTAGCCAGGCATGGTGGCTCATGCCAGCAGTCTAAGCTACTGGCAAAGCTGAGGCAGGAGGATCACTTGAGTCTAGGAATTTGAGCCTGCAGTCAGCTATGATCATACCTGGATGATGACAGAGCAAGATTTCAAAAAAATAATTATGGTCAATTAATACTATATAATATTATGTAGCTAGTTAAAATAATGGTCTAAATATTTATAATTAACCGTTGAGTTAGAAGAAGTTGCAGAAAAACATATGTAGTGTGATTATTTGTCAAAATAAAAATAAAAACCACATATATGTTTCTAAAACACATTAGAAAAAATATTGAGAGAAACATCAACCTTTTACATTGGTTTTGTCTAGGACTGGGATAAAGAGAAGAAAATGATCTTTTTCTTTATATACTTCTGAATAAATTCTATATAGTTCTGTATTGTTACAATTGTTAAAATGAATGCTTATTACCTTTTAAAAACAGTAAACAGAAACTGAAATGAAGAAGTTTTAGAATTTTAATTGTTTTAAAACCTGGAGCAAAGAGACGTAGGTTAGCTTTCAGTAAAGGAGGCATTAAACATATCGAAGACAGACTAACTCATGGATCCACATCCTGAGGGGATAGAAGGGATCTGTGTCAGAGCAGAGTCCCAAATGTACTAGGGCTGTGACGGCTTCACTGTTCCACAGGGAAATGTAAACAAACAGAATAGTATTTCATAAAATTTAGTTTTTTGGGTGAAAATGCATTTCTTTTAAGAAATCATGGTGACAAAAGATGGAAAGACTTTACAAATATATACTGTTACTTGTCAAGAGTAAAAAGTTACCAGCCCTGTATCTGTTTTCAGACTGATAGAAATGTGAATGGCCTATAAATCCCAATGTCTGAAAAAACCAGATCTATGGCACAAGTAGAAAGCTAAGCCATACCGAGTATTCCATTATTGGAACACTAAGCACGTGCGAGTTATTTATACCCTACTGCTCAAGGTCATCACTGAGGTCTGACTGCAAAAATTCAAAAAATTGCAACCTCAGTTATAAATGGGTTAAACAAGGGAACAGAAAATTCTTCTGTGATAGAGGAAAACAAGTATGCATGGATGTACACAGTTCTAGATAGACTTTGTTGGTAAAAGGAAAGAAGTTGAGGAGTTTCTCTCTTATAATGACTGTGGTGAGATCGTTTGCTGGGTTCAGGGTTAAGGAGCTCAGCAGGCATGATTGTGAGGTTGAGACTTGAGGGGAACAATAAACATGTAGAAGAGGTGCTATAGGGAATGGAAGACCAACCTGAGTGTGTACTAGAGTCTTCAAATTTGGAATAATACCTGTCTGAATTTGGTTTGGGTTACCTGCTCTTTAATGAAATTGTCTTTGGTTCCTGTATTAGGGTTCTCCAGAGCGAGTTCTTCCTGTCTCAAAAAAAGTATTGTACATTAATACTATGTAACATTATGTGGCTAGTTAAGAGAATGGGCTAGACATTTATAAGGAATTGTTGAGTTAGAATTGAAGAAAAATATATATGGTGTGATTATTTATAAATATACAAATGAAAACCTTTATGTGTTTTAAAACATTAGAAAAAGTATTGAGAGAAACTTCAATCTATTAACATTGGTTTTGTCTAGGAGTGGGATAGGGAGAAGAAAACAATTATTTTTCTTTACATACTTCTGAGTATATTTTACATACTTCTGTGTTGTTTGAATTGTTAAAACAAATGCTTATTACCTTTAAAAAAAAAAAGTAAATAGAAACTGAAATGAAGAAGTAGACTGCAGCAAAGAGAACTACTAGGATATATAGATATATGACAGGGGATTTATTAGGGGAATTGGCTCATGTTTTTCAATCCAGTATACTTGTACCATGATTTCCTCCCTTAATTTGAATTTTACATTGTATTCTATTTATAATAGTTAAATTAAAATAGCAGTTATTTCTGACAAAGCTCCATCAAAATCAATATGTTGATTATCAATTTTAAAGATGCCACTGTGGATTTCTGTTGCTGTGATACAGGATTGGTATTTTAAGTTCCTGGTAAAGTGCAACACACCAAGCGGACATTCAGTTGAAGGCTGTTTTATGATGCATATCATTTGTGCTTTTTACAGTTAAAATCAAATCTAAAATGTTGACAGTGATGGTTGGTATGTCAACTTTACTCCTCCATTTTATAGCTCATCTTTTACTGATTTAGAAGTCTGTACCTCTTTATTATATTGTAAGTTTTAAAAATATGACATAATAGAGACTACATCTTTACGTGCAAACATAATGAGGAGGATGCTGCTTATACAGAAATACACATGGTCTTTTCTCTGGGGAGATTATTACAAACCACCACTCTCCTATTTGCACATGAAAGTAGAAACCAGCAGGGCACTGTGGCTCACACCTATAATTCCAGCAATTTGGGAGGCCAAGGTGGGCGGATCACAAGGTCAAGAGATCAAGATCATCCTGGCCAACATGGTGAGACCCCGACTATACTAAAAAAGAAATACAAAAATTAGCTGGGTGTGGTGGCACATGCCTGTAATCCCAGAAAGCAAGCAGAAACCACAATGACATTAAAAGTATTTTTCCTTAAGACCTGCTCACATGATATCTAGGAGGCCAACAGTAAAAACGTGAAAACTGAATTCTCTTTTAGGAAATAAATACATCAAAACACATGGCATCTTTTAGTTTTGATGAAACTAAAATTGTTGTTATCAATTTAAAATAGTGTTCTACTTGGCAGATTTTATCATTTGGGCTTTAAATTTTGAGAAAGAACATTTTCCTAAAACAAAACTGAGATTTTTAAAAATATAAAACATACACAGAAGAATGTTGCACCAGCAGTCCACACCAGGAGTTACACTCCTAAGGCAGGACTCTAGAGTGAATCCTAGAGATTGCATAGGTAACCTAGATATTGTAAAGCTACACCTTATTCTGTTGGATGGCTCGTGTTGATCTGGTTATATCTTTCCACACTAATTTTCTTAACAATCATCCTTTATAATCATTCTTTGTATCAAATAATATATATTCTGTACTATCTGCTCTGATTGTGACAGGGAAAGGTTCTTCGTAAGAATTTTGTTCTTCCGTCAGAAGAAAGTATTTTAACGCCTCTAGCCCATTTTTCCCTCAAATATCCCAAATATAGTAAAGCCATCTAAATTCCCAAACCCCATACAAAAAACAGTACACTGTAAAACTCCAAAGACTTTGAAAGCGACAAGGCTGCCACTCATGTGTTCCTCCAGCAAGTGCCAGGCGCTGTTATGAAAGTGATAAGATACTGTTCCAATCCTCACAGTGTTAGACAGTGAGCAGACTCAACAGAATGCGTATGATGAGACTGCCAGAAAAGCGACGTCCTCAGGGCAGGAGGAGGGGACGCGGCATCTGCGCGGATGCGGCAGAGAAGCGGCCTGACCGGTGGACCGAGGAAAAGTGAGGAGGAAACATCCCGGGCAGGGGTCAGCTTGGCTGGGAGAGTGCAGCGCGCTCGGACAGGAAGAACGGGGGCAGCGACAGGAAAATGAGTGAGCGTGCAGATGAAAGCGACTGGGACCTGGGTGAGCCGCGCGCAGGGAGCAGAGCATAGTCCCGCGGGAGCAGCAAGAAGGACAATGGCGTGGGCAGGAGGATTGGAAGGACTGCTGGTAGAAGATGAGGGACACTGAGGGCAGGCAGGGCAACCGGGAGCTTGCTGCAGTCGACGAGAAGAGAAACTAGGAGATTGAAAAGTTAGTGACTTTGAAAAAGCCAAAATACTTCTGAGGTAAAACAAAACATTTAACCCGCCGGGAAGGAGTGGAGGATGGCACATGGGTCACTAACCACAAAGCAGAGGTCTTTAAAGTAAATCATAATCAAGTTTTTGTTGTTGTTTGAGACAGGGTCTCACTTTGTCACCCAGGCTGAAGTGCAGTGGCGCGATTTCGGCTCACTGCAACCTCCGCAGCCCACCTCAGCCTCCGGAGGAGCTGGAACCACCGGCGCGCGCCTCCACGGCCGGCTAATTTTATTTTTTGTAGAAAGGAGGACTACGTTGCTCAAGCTGGTCTCGAACCCCTGGGCTCAAGCGACTTGCCAGCCTCGGCCTCCAAAGTGCTGGGATTACAGGAGAGCCACCGCGCACCTGGCCCAAATCTAATTTTGTGATGTGGGATTAAGACGTGGTAAAGCCCCTAGGCTCGGCCAATCAGGAAAGCTATGCCCTCAGCATCTAAAAAAAATGCCCACCAGAAAGGAAGAAAGGTGCCGACTCTTCACCCCGCGGGCTGCATCTGGTGGGCAACGCCGCCAGGTAATCCACTGCAAACATACGGACACTCTTTTCAGCATCAGATTACCATAAAGATAGAAGAGCACACCCCACGCAAAATCCTTCCTGTCCAGTCCCTTTAAAGCCTCTTTCATTGTCCTCCGCGACGCAGCCCGTAAAGCCGCCAAAGGAACTCTGAAGCCAAAGTCCACGCGCAGCGCATGCGCACCCTCTGCGGCGTGGGCGGAGGGTGGGGCGGGAAGGACGTTTCCCAGAAGGCGCCTCCATCGCAGCTGCCCTTCCTCCCGCTCTCAGGCCTCGTGACGTGACTCCACCCACCACACTCCTCGGTCGCAAACAGCAGTTTGCCAGCGCCCCCCTGCGGTCTGGCTGGGTGCTGCGGACGTGCACGCAGGGCCAGAGTGCGCGAGTAAGCAGAGTGCTGCGAGTCTGGCCGCCGCCGTCGTCACCGTAGCGCGCCGACTGGGAGCCCAGCGGAGCGAGGGAAGGGAGGAGGAGGGAGACGCGCGAGGAGGGGAGGGAGGAGGCTAGACAAGGCGGGGTGAGGGGGAGCAGCGGTGGCGCAAGCCTCGCGGAGCAGCGCAACCTGGGTAGCTGCCGCCTCCGGACCGGGCCACCGGAGTCAGTGTCCCAGAGACCCTGTAACCCCTCAAAGCGGACGAAGGAGTCCATGTTGGGGAACTTGGCGGCGGATTGACTGGGACCTGTAAACCTGTGGGGCCGCCGCCGGACCGAGCGCCTCGACTTCGGCCTGAGGTAAACACGGGCCGACCCGCGGGGTGGATGGGCTTGGGCAGCTGTCGGGGCGAGGCCAGGGTTAGAGGCCGGCGCAGAGCGCTGGAGCTGGCCTGGAGCGACGCGAGAACTGACAAAGTTTCGGAATCTCGCGCGGCCCGGGCGGCGTCGTGCGCTGGGAGGAAAGTTGGAGCTGCCTCTCCGGATGGGGTAGGCTGCGGCCGGGAGGGCCCCTTTCCCTGGCTGCCCCGCGAGGGAGGCCCGGCTTTGGGCCGCCGCGGCCGCCTCTCTGTCGCACTCCGTCCCATTTCCTCCTTGTGGCCTACGCGCCTCCCGCCGCCTTAGCTGGCGATGCCTGTCCCCGCCCGGGTGCAGGGTCCTGCGGGGGGAGAAGGGGATCCACGCCAGAACCGCCGCAGACACTCTCCTCCCTGCAGTGGAAACGTGTCTTGCTGAGCTTCCGGGCACTCCCGACCCCGGTATCGGCTTTTCTTGGGAGACTTTGGTCCCGAGCGTCCAAGCCCGCTTGTGAAACCAAACTTTACTACGCTGTGACCTCTCAAGTGCACGAATGGGGAAGAACCGGCGCTTCTAAGCATCAGCCTTTTCACTGGGTGCTCTGAACTACAAACTATTCTCCAACCCCCAATGTTTTAAACTCGCTGCCTGGGCTGACAACTACCGGGCCTGGAAATCTAAATTTAGCCTAATCCGTCGCCCCTTCTCAGACCTAGGAATTTTGAATCATTAATAAGATTTCTTATCGATGTAACATGTATTTTGAAAAATTGTTTCAAAGTAGACGCCTAGTTTAGAGTACTTGATTTAGACATTCACAGATTCAAATGTTGAGTTTTGAAATACCCCCAGTATATTTCCGTAGGGTATTACATAAGTGCCTACCAGTTGAGTGTTTTTCATTCATTTTGGATTACATTTTGGCCAATACACTACCAGTGAACTAAGATACTTAGCAAAAATGCTGAAAAATGTTTTTAATGCGTTGTGTAGTAAATGCTGATGTTAAGTTTTCTCCGATTTGGGAATTTCCCCCGAATGTTGGGAAATGCTTGTTAATAGGTGCATTATTTTTTCATTTTAAAAGAAAAATGAATTTATACGTATGACTGCCTATCTCAGCAGCAGAATATCAGGGCAGTACATTTTAAAATAACGATTGGTTTTTGCATTTTATTATTGTATTAAAGTTTTGACACGTAATTAAGTCTGTTTCTAAACAATTGCTTTCTCTTTCCTGTTTGTTTGGCAGTTGGCTTGATCATCTCACTATTTTGGTCAAAAGATGCAAGAAAAACTTTATGGGCCTTTTGTTTTTGTTGTTTCAACTGATTGGGCAAGAGAAATGAAATCTTTAAACTTTTGTATTGCTTTTGTTTTATATTCTATCGAATAATCTGAATTTATATTTTTTATGCAATGTGAGTTTTTAAGAAATACTAGTTCTCAGGGTAGCTGCATTTTAGCCATAATATTTTTTGGTGCTTGCAAATATTTTAACAGTCATTCACTTTTTCACATTCAAATAGTGACTTTTTACCTGAGAGTTTGAGTACATTTTAAAATTTCATTGGGGTAAAATTTGAATGTTTGTTTACTGTAAGTATACTTGTGGTTTAAAGACATTTTTCAATATAAAAGGGATGAAAACTAGAAGAAAATGTAAAATTTCTAAATATGTTGCCTGAAAAAATGTCATGGAGAAAATTTTAAGGAGAATTTTTTTTTTTTCTGTTAATGCCTTTATGTGGTAATGGGGACAGTGTGTTAAGATGGAAACTTTTCAAGAGTTACTCAGCTCCCCATCGTCCTTTGGCACCAACTAGAGCTTAAGACAGTTTTCTTGAAAACCTGTGGTTTTATTCAGCAGAGATAGGATGAATCAGTGCAGTTATATGATACTGTTGATTCATCATCAATAACATCTTTTAGTAATAAGGAAGTACAGTATTATACTATCCATCAACTTAATACTGAACTTTTAAGGTATATCAGAGATAGTTGTAGTGCCTTAATTAAAGAGGGTGGCAGGCATAAAAGTAATAAAAAGAAAGTCAACTGTAGAATAATTTTTATTGTAACGTCCCTTTAGCAAAGCTCTGCCCTCGTCTGCTCTTGTCTTTTAATGATGTTAATTGTGTCTTGACTTACCTTGCCCAGTGAAATAAAGAAACTTAAAACCCATATTTTTATTAGTCTGCCCCCCAAAATAAATTAATAGCTTTGCACCATGTCTTGCTTCTGAGCAGTAGTAACTGTTAGTACTACTGAGTAGAGCCCAGAGTTAAAATATCTGATATCATTCTTTTACTATTCTCAAAAGTCATCTTTGTATTGTATTTTTTTTAAGTTCTGGCTATGAACTTTATGAATTCCTGGTACATAGACACATTAGAAATTCAATGCAAAATGTAAAAACACAACCACTATTTTGCTTGCAGAATAACTTCCTAAAAAGTCACTGTGACCTTTGCCAATCTACAGTCTTTAACGCTTCATAGACAGAATGATCCTGATAAAATGTCAGGTCATGTAACTTCTATTCTCAAATGGCTTTCCTTCTCAATCATAGTAAATTCCATACTATTATGGCCAACAAGGCCCTATGATTTGAGTCTCTTCTTCCTCTCTGACTCCAGTCTCCTTTCCCCTAAGTTATTGTGGTCTCCTCTAACTACTGTGTAGAAAACAACAGCCTTCCCCCCATCTCCTCAATATTTACTATCTATTTTTACACCAGATTTTTCTCCATAGCCTTTATCATTTTGCAACATACCGCATAATCTACTAACTCTGTTTATTGTGTATTTTCTTCACTGTAATGTATCTTCTGTGAGATCAGCATTTGTCAGTTTTGGTCACTGTTTTGCCCCTAAACACCTGAACAATGCCTTACATGTAAGTTAATGAATTAACTTGCTTTCAGCTATAAACGTTACAAATAATGATTGTGGTTTGAAACTTAATAGACTAAGCAAGTCTCATTCTGTGGCATAAAGTGCCAGGTTACTTATATCCATGCACATGGGCCATGTTCATTTGAGGGGTCCATGTTTTTTTGTTGTTGTTGTTGGTTTTGTTTTTGCTTTCAGATAGCATCTCACTCTTGTCTGCCAGGCTGGAGTACGGTGGTGTGATCACAGCTCTCACTATAGTGCCCAGGCTGGTCTCAAACTCCTGGGCTTAAGTAATCCTCCCACCTTGGCCTTCCAGAATGCTGGGATTACAGGAATAAACCAACACACCCAGTCCAAGGGTTCTGTGTTTTTAGAGGAGTATGACGTTATGTGACCTTGAAACTATCATTTGTCTTAATATAGAAGGAACTAAGAATGCCTTAGCTAAGAATAGAGCAGTGTATTAGTCTGTTTTCACCCTGCTGATATACCTGAGACTGGGAAGAAAAAGGTTTAATAAGACTTACAGTTCCACATGACTGGAGAGGCCTCAGAATCATGGCGGGAAGAGAAAGGCACTTCTTGCGTGGTAGTGGCAAGAGAATAAGAAGATGCAAAACCAGAAACCCCTGTTAAGACCATCAGATCTTGTGAGACTTATTCACTATTATGAGAACAGTATGGGGGAACGACCCCCATAATTCAAATTATTTCCCACCGGGTTGCTCCCACAACACATGGGAATTATGGGAGTACAATTCAAAATGAGATTTGGATGGGGACACAACCAAACCATGTCAAGCAGTATAACTATCTTACTGTTAAAAATGTAATTTGGAAGCCATATTTATTTCCTTTAGCTCCAGAAGGCAGAACTAGGATTGCGATGATGTGTATTGAAAGGGAGGAGAGAGGTAGCAAGAGATCTGGGAGAAGTAGGAGGCTTTTTCAGTAGTCTGAGAGAGATGAGGATAACTTAAATTAGGATCATAATTGTGGAGATGTGCTCAGTGGATGGGATTTGAGACCAGCAGGCCTCAGTAGATTGAAAGTGAGTGAGAAATAAATTTCAAAGATTACTTCTGGGTTGCACTCCTGGATTGATAGTGGTACCGGATAAGGAGCAGAGCTCTTTTTGGTTTTGACATATCAGGCTTAAGGTACCTTTGGAGTTTTCAGGTAGAAATTTCTGTAAGCAATTAGATATATGATTCTAAAATTCAGAGGAGGAGTACGGGCTGGAAATGGAAAACTGGAGTCACCCATACAGGTGATTGGAACTATAGATATGGATGAAATTGTCTAAGGGAGGGAATATAGGTTGGAGTAAAAAAAAAGCCTAGGATGGAATCACAATGAGCTCTAAGATTTAAAAAAGTTTGCTAGAAGATTGTGAGCTCCCAGAGAAAACTGTGAAGATCAGAGAAGTAGAGGGTAAACGGGGTGTTACAGAAACCAAAGGAGGAGAGTGTTACAAGGAGAGAGAGTTGGGTCAAGTGTTGATAAGAGTTGAATAAGGTAAGAACTAAAAAAATTTTTGTTGACTCTAACGATGTGAAGCTCATTGCCCTTTTGAACAAGCAGGACAGTAAGGTTCTTACTTTGAAACTGCTGCTTCTGTAATTGCTTAAAAGTTTTGAAATCAAAGTTTCAGAAATTATCACCCATTTTACAGAAGACAGCTAATGTTTATCAGGTATTTACTATGTGTCAGCCACTCTGTTGTAGACATTTTACGTATGTTTTCATTTGATCTTTTTAGTAGCCTTGCAATGTTGAATGTCTTAGTTCATTTTGCAGTGATGAGTCTGGGGCTCTGGAGAAGTTAAATAACTTGTTAAGTGTCAGAGAACTTGCCAAGTATCTATACATTTCTTTTACCCTAGACTTCTCAGATGTATTTTTAGAGGTGTATTTTTGTTGTAATTTTGACAATAAGGTAAAAATTAATTGTTTTTTTTTTCTTTTTCTTTTTTTTATATATAGGTTTAAGAATCAGTCAGACCTGGTTTTGAACTCTGGTTGTCCTGGATGACTGTCACCTTTTATAGCTGAGTCCATCTGACTTTCAGCCTTTAGTTGTTTATTATATTAGTTGCCTCTCAA